TCACTATTATATATTGTGTGATCTTCATTTGGAGCTTTTCCTTCAGCATCAAATCAATTAAAGGACTCTTAAAGGTGTAATTAATGCACTGAGAAAACAACTGAAACGTTAGACCACTAAAAAAAATGGTGTGTTATAGAATAATGCACATTGCATTCTTTGTTATATTTCAAAAAGCCTTATGTACACATTTAATGTGCTTACTTTCAGGTTGCTTGGTGCAATAAACAATCTTTATTTGTCTTTTTCTTACCCAAGCCACATTAGGATCATTTACTGTACACGATTCTATGAATGTTCTTAAAATTAGAATCTTCAGATTCACTCAGAATCATTAATCAAACTGAATCAAATCTTATTGTGAATTGCGTTGGATCGAATTGAATCATTGAATTTTCAAAAATTGTTCCTGAATCGAATTGAAAACTATGAATTGTGAATTGAAATGATTCTCTTTCTAGCCAAAGATTCACACCCCTACAAATTATACATCATCATTAGGGGTTCACTCAGACAAATACTTCACCCTTTTACAGGATAATATGAGAGAACAAAATATATAGTTCTACCAAGGAAGAAGCTGTTGGTATTAAAATCAGTATACCTTAAAAGGTATAAGATGAGGTTTCCTGGATTTTGTATTATAAGATCTTTATCATACTTTAATAGACTTGCTCATACTCTTATGCGAGTACCATTTGCACTTTTTTCTCAAAAACGTCCTTACACTATATCTCACTCTCACAACAACAGGGTGTTTAGGATGTCGATGCAACATAGCAGAGTTTGTTTTGCAATAGTAACCAGCTGACTGTACATTATGCCTTACTTATTTGAGCACAGAATGATGGGATTGAATTGAGTCAAGTATTCCTGACAGCAGTGTAATAAGAAATAAAACAGGATTATGTCCTTCTCACATGTAATCCCACATTGACTGCATTGGTTAGAAATCATGAATACCATGATGCAACATTCATTATAACTATGTCAGTTTAGTCCTCAGACTGTTCAATGCATCTTTGAAGGCCGCATGTGCAGCAAGGACTAAATTCCCCCTTATATAACTGACATGAATGCGGTAAGACAGAGGTTATAACCCGTCTCACCACTAGCACACTCTGCCTCCACCTTTCCCTCTTGCTGTCTGCCTGACCGCTCACACCAGGCCTGTGGGGAATGGCTCCTAATTTATTTGGAAGGCCATCGGACAGGATGAGTGGCATTTTAATGTGCTTTTGCGATGTTTGGTCACAAGCACTATTGATGACGGCACGGAAGAGTCATCCCTGGAGAGCCGGGGTGCCTTGCATGATGTCAGCCATGGAATGAGTTGCCGGTCGTGGTCTCCCAAATGAAATAGTGACCTGTTGGAAGGGTCAGCCCAATAAACTTACATTCTAGGGAGATGGAACCTGCCAATCGGCTAGACGGCTGACAGATGGACACTGGTTAATTTGCACCTGAGTTGTGCTGCTTGTCAGTGTGAGGAGGCTGGGTAAAATGTGCGTCTTTCTTTTGTAGGGAGAGAAGATACATGTGGTGGAATTGGTGGTGCTTTTGGATGGATGGACTTATATGGCGCTTTTCCACTGCATGGTACGACTCGGCTCGGTACGGCTCAGTACGGCACGGTTCGGCTTGGCACGGTTTGCGTTTCCACTGCAGCCGAGCCGTACCGTGCCGTACCATGCAGTGGAAAAGCGCCAATAGATACATAGATTTGTAGACATATAGATGGATAAATAGAAAGGTGATGGATGGATTGATGGATAGATGGATGGATGGGTGGAAAGATGATTGATGGATGGAGAGGTAGAAAGATGACTGATGGATGGATGAATAGATGGATGGATGGATGATTGGGTGGATGGACGGATGGATGGATGATAGAAAGATGATGGATGGATGGATGGATAGATGATGGATGGATGAATAGAAAGATGACTGATGATGATGATGATTGATGGATGGATAGATGGATGGATGAATTGAAAGATGACTGATTAATGGATGGATGAACAAATGGATAAATGGAAAGATGATAGATGGATGGATGAATGGATGAATGGAAAGATGATGGATGGATGGATAGATGATGGATTCATGAATAGAAATATGACTGATGATGGATGGATAGATGGATAGATGATGGATGAATGGATGGATGGATGGATGGATGGATGGATGGATGGATGGATGGATGGATGGATGGATGGATGGATGGATGGATGGATGGATGGATGGATGGATGGATGGATGGATGGATGGATGGATGGATGGATGGATGGATGGATGGATGGATGGATGGATGGATGGATGGATGGATGGATGGATGGATGGATGGATGGATGGATGGATGGATGGATGGATGGATGGATGGATGGATGGATGGATGGATGGATGGATGGATGGATGGATGGATGGATGGATGGATTGAAAGATGATTGATTGATTGATGGATAGATGGATAGATGATGGATTCATGAATAGAAATATGACTGATGATGGATGGATGGATTGAAAGATGATTGATTGATTGATGGATAGATGGATAAATGGAAAATTATGGATGGATGGATGGGTGGAAAGATGATTCATGGATGGATAGGTAGAAAGATGACTGATGGATGGATAGAAAGATGATTGATGGATGGATTTAAAGATGATTGGGTGGCTGGCTGGATGGATGGATAGAACGATGATTGATGATGGATGGATAGATGGATAGATGATGGATGAATGGATGGATGGATGGATGGATGGATGGAAAGATGATAGATGGATGGACAGATGATGGATGGATGAATAAAATATGACTGATGATGGATGGATGGATTGAAAGATGATTGATAAATGGAAAAATAATGGATGGATGGATGGATGAACTGATAGATACATAGATATGTAGACCGATGGATGGATGGATAGAAAGATTACTGATGGATGGAGGGATGGATGGATAGAAAGATGACTGATGGATGGATGGATGGATGGATGGAAGTGAAGTGACGTGTGGCCAAGTATGGTGACCCATACTCGGAATTTGTGCTCTGCATTTAACCTGAACACACACCCGGAGCAGTGGGCAGCCATATTGCTGCGGTGCCCTGGGAGCAGTTGGGGGTACAGTGCCTTGCTCAAGGGTCTCACCTCAGTCGTGGTATTGAGGGTGGAGAAGAGCACTGCTTATTCACTCCCTCTGGATGAATGGATAGAAAGATGATTGATAGATGATGGATGGATGGACAGATAGATATATATATAGATAGAAAAATGGTCAGACGGCCTGAAAAATTAACATTCTGTCATCATTTACTCACCCTCAAGTTTTTCCAAACCTGTATGAGTTTGTATGAGTTCCAACATTCTTCAAAATATCTTCTTTTGTGTTCAGCAGAAGAAAGAAACACATACAGGTTTGGAACAACATGAGGGTGAATAAGTGATGACGGGATTTTCATTTTTGGGAGAATTACACCTTTAAAGGAAATTGGTTGGTACTCATTCTCCCTGACTCAAATGAAAAGGACTCATGTCTGCTAGACTGAACACTGGATCAATACACCTGCTCCTGCTGCTGGGAGGATCTATAAAATATATATTTGCTGAAGGTATAAAATGCAATTAATTTATCACCTCTTAATATCACAGCTGCAAGGTGTTGTGTGTGTGTGTGTGTGTGTGTGTGTGTGTGTGTGTGTGTGTGTGTGTGTGAGAGAGAGAGAGAGAGAGAGAGAGAGAGAGAGAGAGAGAGTACTTGATTGTTAAAGTTACCAGGGCATTTGTGATTTAATGGACAGGAATTCAACACAAACTATTGTATAGGTATATTGTATTGGAATTATTATTCAGTATTATTCTACTGTATTTCACATTATTTATCATGAAGTGAATTGCTACCTATTAGATAGATTTATTCAAATAACAACATAAATATGACAAAACTCTAGACTTTTTGAAACACAAAATGTTATGCATGTTATAATAATTGAGGTTATTTGATTATGGATAGTCAGTATATTTACTGTAAATGTAATATTTAATTTAAAAATAATAATAAAAAATGAATGAATAAAAATTTAAGCAGATGGTCAGTCATATAATCTGTTTAGCAGGTCGTGCTGTTGTGTAAAGTGGTGGAGACTCTTACTGCCTACCGCCATCGCGGTCCCCCTCAGTAGACACACTATTGTGTGGTTTGTGTGGTGCCTAAACACACTACTGCCTTTAGTGTGTAATATAGCTGTTTGTGCTTATAAATAATCTGACCAGTTACAAAGCATAAAGTCGGCGTATAGGGAGTTCATCTCTTCAACAGAAAACACTTCCCTGAAATACATTGTTTGTAGTCCTGCCTTGCTTTATTTATTTATTTTCGCTGTAAGGCCAAAAACCATTTTATTAACTGCCAATACTGACTCTATATCCTGTAGATTAAAATGTTTACAGCTGCTCATTAAGCCTCTGAGCTGAATCTTATTATGTTAAGGGGCTTTACATTTCCAACACAAGCTCTTGACCAATCACCTCTTGACCAACAGACTGTGCCAGCTGACCAATCAGAGCAGACTGGGCTTTTTGGAAAGGTGGGATTTAAAGAGACAGGAACTAAAACAGAGCAGAGGGTGAAAAAAGGTGCTGCAGTATGACGAAAAATAATGTATTTATTAAACTTGAAGTCATGTAAATGTGTTCTAGCAGAGCCCCAAAATAAAATTATTCACTTGTAAATTAGCATAATATGCCATATTGTCTTGTTGTCATTCACTGCAAATTAAAAATGGCGTCTACCCTGACTAAGGTCTATTGATTGTTCCATTAGTGTAACCCATAAATGATTTGGCATGCAGCCTGCTGTATTTGTCCCAATTCAAAACTCCTTCAGCCTGTGCGGCGTAAATGCTGTAGCCTGGTCTTGAGCACAATGGACTGTGCTAAAGCCCAGCAAATCGCAAGCCAGCTTGTTAATTGCCCTTTTCTTATCTCTCCATGTCCAGTGTGTATGGCTGTCCTGTCGCCAAGAAGAGAAAACCCCTGGAGAGTCATGCCCTGGAGCCCTCGCCCAAGAGGAAGGTGTTTCTCACAGTTATAGACCAACAGTCAATGGAGAAATGCTATAACACGCACAAAATTGAGGAGATGGATGAAAAAGATGAGGAAGAGGATGAGGAGGAGGAAGAGGAAAAGGTAGACGAAGAGGAAGCGGAGGAGGAATATACAGACAATGAGGACCAATATGAACAGGAAGAGGTAGAAGTGATTAATGGAGAAGAGGAAGAGGTGGAGCAGGAAGAAGAGGAATTGGTGGAGGAAGATGAGGAAGAAGAAGAAGAAGAAGAAGAAGAAGAAAGAGAGGGGGAGGATGATGAAGACGAGGATGAGGTGGAGGAAGATGAGCAAGAGGATGAGGAGCAAATTCAAGAAATAGGTGAGTTTGAATAAATCCACAAAAGATGGACATTTGATTTATTATACAGTAATTTATACTAACAAAAATATTATTTATGAGTTAAATCAGGTAAAAGGCTCTTTACCTTGGTAACAATTGCAGATTATCACTTTATACAGTGTAGTATGATACGGAGCTCATACTCAAGGAGGAAAAAACATCTCAACTTTATTCAGAGGCCAAAACTGAGGAAAAATATGCATTATGGTACAGATGCTAATATTTATATGACTAAAAAGCACGATGAAATTCTGGTAGCTTGTAATGTAAGTCAATGAATCTTTATACCATTATTATGGACTACTTACATAAAATTATTTACACTACCAGTCAAAAGTTTTTCAACAGTAAGATATTTAATGTTTGTTTAAATAATTCTCTACTGCTCACCATGGCTGCATTTATTTGATCCAAAATACAGCAAAAACAGTAATATTGTGAAATATTTTTACTATTTAAAATAACTGCTTTCTATTTCGATTTATTTTCAAATGTAATTTATGTCTGTGATTTCAAAGCTGATTTTTTTTTGCATCATTACTCCAGTCTTCAGTGTCACATGGTCCTACAGAAATCATTCTAATATGCTGATTTGCTGCTCAAAAAACATTTATTATTATTATGAAAACAGCTGAGCAGTATTTTTTCAAGTTTATTTGATGAATAGAAAGTTCAGTAGAACGTCTCGGTTACTTATGTAACCCTCGATCCCTGAAGGCGGGAACGGAGATGTCACGTCGAATGACCGACGAATTGGGATCTCGCTTAGAGTGTAAACTAAACGAGCCAATGCACATTGGCATGTGATTATTGCATCCAGCTGCCGCTGATCACAGCGTGAGTATAAGTAGGCAACAGGTGCAGCGCATATTCAGGTTTTCGCTGAGGAGCCGAGCCGGTGACCTGGCCGCTCAGCGGTGGTACAGCCTAAACTGAAGTCGAACATTCTTGAAGGCCTGGTTCAAAAAATTATCAAATACAAAGTTTATGCCACTGATAAAGAGTTTAACACCGTTGGGGAGGCCCTCATATCTAAACACCCTTGTCTCACAGAGAAAGGCTCCCTGACTGGATATGCTGGTTGGAAACTTGGCCTAAAAAATTAACTTGCAATTTATCGCACTCAACTAAGAAAGCTTGGATGCCCTGAGGTACTTGTAAACTCTGTTAAGCACAAACCAGCAGGCAAAACAAGTGCTGCTGCTGCCATTAAAAAGCACGCCGTTCGGAAGTAAACTACTGCCCCCCTCATCCCACCAGAGAATCTGATGAGAGCCTCAAGAACCTGAGTGGCACTTCTTTCAGATGTGAAGAAAAACAACAACAGCGAGACCATTAGGATGAAAATAGAAAATACATTTTCATATAGAAGATATGAAGTGGTCCGTGACACACCCATGATCCAAGACTTCAGGGCAAGAAGGCCAGCGCTCTTTGACGTAAGCGAGGTATGTCATTAATGACATTTTGGTAACACTTTACAATAGGGGTGGGAAAAATATCAATAGGGCGATATATATCGTCGTCCTTCTCTGTGCGATACGAGAATCGATACGCTGGCACCAAATATCGATACTTTAATTAAGCCAGGATTAGGCCTTAACTAAATTAGAGCATTTAAGTGGCTTTTATAAACGTGCGTTTGAAAAAAAAAACATTACTGGTGTGCATCTTGAGACAAAACAATATCTTAATATGTCAGTGCAAGTTGCTTTCAGTTAAAACAGCTCAAACAAGCATTTTAGTTTGGGACTAGGCTTAAGCCTTGTCTGTGAAACCGGGGGTAAGATTAATAAATGCTAGAAAAGTATTAGTATTGTTAAATGTTATTTCATGTTAACTAATATAAAGTGTTTTAACAGCAAAACAAAACAACATTTATTATAGCGTTATTATAAAAACTTCCTTGTGTGTAATTTATATGTAAGTAGCTTACAAATCAATTAATTTTAACCTTTAATATTATAATGATGTGCCAGCTGTGGTTCCCTTTCAGTCGGTCACTCTCGACATCACATCGGATGACCGACGAATTGGGATCCCTACCAAAGTGCCACGGATACTGCCCCTTCCAGTGTCCTGTGGAA